TGGGTTCCCCTCACCTTTCGTATAAGGGATCAGAAGCTTTTAAAATCCTGACAGCTTTGGATAGCAGATAGCTCCTCGGAATGGACCAGCAAGGCAGTAAGAAAGCAACAGGCCTGGTAAGAGGACAGTGGAAAGTCCAGCACTACCACGAGGAGAGGATGAGACAAGGGAGACCTTCAGCCAAGCAAATCAAGTCTAACAGGCTTTTGGAATTTCTTTTGTCAAACTCGCTCTCTGTTGGGCAGGCTGAAACCACTGCTCCAAGAAAGGGCTGTGAGAGAGAAATGCTACAGGGAGGAGACTGAAAACAAGAGACCAGCAGTGTTGGCGTCCCAGGAGTGGAGCAGGGCTCTGGGAGCCTCCTTCCTAACTCCTGCTGGCTGCTGGAAGGCATTGGCATCTCTTGGCTTGTGAGCACAGCATTCCAGCATCGCCTTCGGTCATACAGAGACACTTACATAGTTACATCTGCAAAGACCCTGTTTCCAACTAAGCTTATGTTATGAGGGCCCACGTGAATGTGGATTTGGGAGTGAGCTGTCCTAGGCCTTAGAGCCTGTTCTAATAGGTGAGTGCTTGGGGGGGTGGGTCACCAGCCTGAACTCCAGAGGGTTTACTTCACAGGCCAGCTACTTGCTGAGAAGCTTGTAAGTGGAAGGAGACTGCTAATGGTGTATTGGATTTATTTTTCTTGTTTCACAGTGTTTTGCCTATGAAATGAAATTTTTCAATACATTTGGGCCTTTCTATGTCATGGCCATTGTTTCCTGGTTGTATTTGTTCACGTGCCAGACAAGCCCTCCACCTGTGCTCACTCCCCAAGTCATTGTAATAGACTGAGGATGCTGCAAGCCAGGGACAAGGACCACCTGCACTTTAGGGCTCCTGTTATCATCCCCTGGAGTGGGGGGTACCAAGGGAGCTCTGCACTGGGACAGACCACTGGGTTCTCATCTTAGTTCAGATACACTCTGAACTGTGAGGTTTCTCATTCCATTGCCTTTAGGTGCAAATTTCTCTCTGAAGAGAACAGGCTTGACTTGCATTTGATCTTTTCTACCTCTGAAGGCAGGGTGGAATGTATTTCCTCTTCATGAATTCACTGCCCTTGCTGAGCAAGTGTAAGCACTGTCCTTGCAAGGGTACCCTTCCCTGTCCTGCCTGCAAGGCCCTCCTGAGACCCAGAGGCCAACAGGCCTTCCAGGAAGTGGAACCCTCTGAGGAGTGAAGCCAGGTGACCAGAGGGGAGGAGAATGCCCTGACAAGAGAAGCAGTATGTGGGAAGCCTGGATATGGGGGAGAAACACAGGTGATGAAATAGTAGAAATGACTGATCTTAGGCCACAGAAAGAGCCAGGTGGCAGCAGGGTGTGGAGAGGCGCAGGGTGTGGAGAGGTGGCAACGCCAAGCTGAACCCTGATGAAAGACTAAATTTGAGAGAGACTGAGGTCACTGCAGGGTCTCTGGCATTGGCACCTGAGGGAAGGTGACATCTTTCACTGAACCTCGAGGAAGGAGGCAGGCTATTGGAGGGAGTCTGAGTTTGGGATGTGTTGAACATGAGGTGGTGTGGAATATTTCTAAGTACTAGTATCAGGGAGGCAGCATATGTACTGATTTGAAATTTCTGGACCTTAAGTCACTTAAGGACTTTTCCTTGTCTCTCAACCCTTGGACTGGAAGCATCCCCTTTCTGCTTCCGCTTCCTTGTCTAAATGGGAATGCTGATGAGATGATCTCCTAGACCTCGTTAGGGACAAACCTTCTTTGGATTGCAGTCTGTTCTTTCAAAAGGATAGAGTTGGAAGCTCCAGTCCCTATTGTCAGACCCAGCTTTAGCTCCTCTGGTTGTGGATTCTCTGATAAGGAGATGATGGCCTATCCAGCTGTATCCGGGGAGCCCTCAACAATGTCCTCCTCCAAAGTGCCAAAGGAGAAAGGCTGAGGGAGATCTGGCCCAGGGAAATGAGCCTGCTTCTGTGAGGATGGAGGTAGCCTAGACAGAGTGACCCTGGTCTTCTGGTCTGCTCCTCTGTTCCTGGGGCTTGGCCCACGGTGGGTGGTCAAAAGCCCCTTTGTTCACAGGGAAACCCCAGCCCCCCCCCCCCAGCACCATTTTATTCTCTAGGCCTTGGGTGCCCACATGGCCTGCCCTGGAGGAAGCTTGAGCAAAAATGGGCAGTGAGTGGGACAGGTGATCCTTAGAGCCGAGCCGCCCTTCACATGGGTACCCACACCCTGTGACAGGCTTGGCTTTTTGAAAACCTACTTTTTAGTTTTGCATTTTCCCAAGACCACATTAGCAACCAGAAAGGGTGTCCATATATGAAAGGCTCATTCTGCATCATGCCCTTTTCTCTGCAAGGGAGGCGTTAGGGTTTGTTTTAGGGATGTCTCAGCCTCAAGCCAAAATGCCTGCCTGTGCAAAGACTGTTTTGCAGGTGTAATCCTCACTTGGCTGCATGCATTTGACATTCACCTTAACCACAGATTCCTTCATGGGGAAAGAAAGGAGAGGCAGATGAGTGGATGTAACAAGGAGCTCATCAAGTGTAAGTCTTCATCCAGTTAAGCCTCGCTACCATGCCACTGCTCGGCAGCTTTGAGAGATTTCAAAGCAGTCGCTATTCTGCTGGGCCAGGCTTTGTGCAAATGTTAACCAGTGAATTGTATGTGCACATTAGCATAGACCTAATGGGAAGTAATACTTCAGATAAAAGTGTAGAATGGTCTGGAAATAATAAATTGTACTATTCAGACCAAGATTGAAACCTGACTCCACCTTATCTTCAGTATTTATCTCTTTAGGGCCAAATATCTTGAAGTTCAGACATGTTCTTTGTTGTTCAGGCTTTTCTGAAGGAAGTACCCCCTCATCCTTTTATCAGATGAAGGCCCCCAAGCTAGCCAGTTCCTAATAGGCAGCTGAGGCAGGACTATTGACAGACTGCAGGCTGAACAGGCCTGCTCTCCTGGGCTTCACCAGTAGGTATCCGTTGACATATCAGCCGTCACAGAGGGGCCAGACACACATGGGCTAGAGATTAGTGTACCAAAGCCTGAGATTCTCTTGACTTTTTATAAGAGTCTCAGAATGTCTTAAAATAGCCTAGTAGCTAAAATAACAATAACAACAACAATAATAGCTTGCCATTGCTGAGAGTGGTTGTTTGTTTAAAATCCAAGGCCCTCATCCTGGCAGCAGTTAGTTTCCACTAGCTGGGCTCCCACAAGAATTGCTCTAATGGAAAGCATATGGTCACATTGAAGCAGGAAGCACAGGGGTCTGTGAAGCTGTGTCTCAACCCCTCTGAGGGGTTTCCTGAGCTGTGAGCTACAGACATCCACACACCTTAGAACCTGAGGTATGGTGTGGATCTGTTTATTTTAAAGAAACTTTTGATGCTAATGTTTCCTGCACAAGTAAGAACTGGTAGTCCATTCTTATGGCTTGGTCTCTCCAGCTTCACTATGTCAGAAGTCTGTATTCCCATCCTCAGGTCCTCAGGATGCTTTAACTGCCTTGTTAAAAAGGAGGAAGACCAACCAGCCACAGTATATTAAGCCGGGATCTCGTGAGGTCTGGAAATGTATGGCTGTGCTCTATGTGGACAAAGCTTAGCTGTTGGTCATCTTCTCCCTCCCCCTGCCCCCACCCCCCACATGCTGTGAGAAGCTTTTGCCATGTAGGTTGCCGAGCTACTTCCTGGTTATGCTGAAGATTATAGTGGTCAGCAAATGTCGTAGAGCTGTGAATAAAAACAAATGACAGCAATACACATGCCATAGGTTTGCCACCACTGCCATAGAATAATCCCAACATCACACTGAACCAAGCAGCTGGCTATGTATCTGGTCCCCTGCCTTCATAGAAAACAAAGCTTCTGGGCATGGGAAGGATGAGGGGGAGATGTCAGTGCTTCTTGGAGGTAGAAAGGTGGCAGTTGAATCTGTTGATCTCAAGTCACTTGCCTTGTAGACTTCCAGAAGGTCCTGGAATTGCAGTAACTAATAGCTTTATCCAGTCACCTTTCCTAACTCCCTCAACAGTCTTGGAAAGCATCCTTGGCTGGCTTGATTTCAGATTTTGACAGGTGATAAAAGCACAGATTGAGGTTGCCACTTCACAGGGTCCAGATTCCTAACTATTGACTGATGTTATTTTTGCTTTTGCTGAGAAATGCACTCCTGTGCTCATCATTACTTCTAATGGGGTGCTTCCGGATACACGGGGAGGCCCAGGCACTTGCCCTTCAATCTGGGAAGCTGCACATGACCTGCATGGAGCTGGGGCTATCTAGATTTAGCCCATGCAATTGGCGTCATGAGTTTCTTTTTTCCCTTAAAAATACAGTGAGGTTAAACAGCAACTGTAAGTGTTCTTCACATCTTTATGGAGCTCAATTTTAATTAGGTTCTTCCTTTCACTTCTGTCTTGTGAAGTTTTAACATTTTAAATGTCCTGTGGTCCTAGTGTTTGTTCCTGTACTTTCTAGGGCTAAATGGGAAATGTCTGGTCATGGTTTGTCAATAGTAACTATACTAATAAACAAGAAAATCTTCAGTTCTGGTCTGGTCTGTTGGGGTCCTGCCAATAACTCTTGTTGTCCCAGAGACTCTACAGAGGGTTCTCATGGGATATCTCTTGATGGCTCTTTCTCTTCCTTCCATTCTTTGGAGGCCCACATTTTCTTTGGAGAAAATTCCCACTGCTCTCAGGTTCCTGGCTGTAGTTGGAAAACATCAGTGTCCAAGGCAGAGCCCAGGCCTGAGACCTCAGCAGGCCAGCCAGGCAGCAGATGCTTGTTGCCTTGTTTATTTTGTATTTATTATTCCCTTACTTAGAGTTTGGAGAACTGAAGCCAATAGGTTTTTAAAAAGAATGAGCATAATTTGATTTCTGGCATTGATTGGGGCTCAGGGGTAACTGGGTATTTTGTTTTCTGATGTGAAACTTACTATTTGGTAACCACTAACTCTTCCTTATTCTTTTCTTGCAGATGAGCTCACAGTGCCTGCACTTTACCCCAGTAGCCCTGAAGTGTGGGCCCCGTACCCTCTGTACCCAGCGGAGTTAGCGCCTGCTCTACCTCCTCCTGCTTTCACCTATCCCGCTTCACTGCATGCTCAGGTAATTTTTACCCATCGGCCACAACTTCACTCACTCCACCACCAGTCCTTCCAGACCTGGTTCCCCAGAGCACACCATACAACTAACACCTATCCAGCTAACAGAGCCACCCTCAAGAAATGAATGATCCCCTCTACATCAAGCTGACACCCTCCGGGACTTGTGAGGATCATCTGCAGCAATGATGCCACCCACTGCCTGATGTTTGCCCCCAATGACACCTCTGTCTTCCTTATTGATCTCACCCTCATCACACACACACACACACACACACACACACTGTGTACACACATGCGCGCGCGCGCACACACACACACACACACACACACACACAGGACTGAGACAAGGTGACCTCCTTGGCCCCCAGGTAGCGCGAGGGCATCACCCGAGCGTTGCTGTGCATTCCTTGTTGTGTGGATGGGCTGCTGAGGTGGGCATGCTCTCGAACCAGAGTGGTCTGTCTCTTATGTTTCTGTGCATGGAGGGACTTTCTGTCTTGTGATCAAAGAGGGAGTTCCAGGAAGAGGACTGGGCTTACATGTACTACAGGAAAGATAAAGGCTTCCTGACTCCATGTTTAGGAATCTCCAGAGCAGAGACACAGTGCAGTGTCTAGAGTGTAATTGCAGGTCAAGGTAGAGCCTCTCTTGTGACTCACTTTCTTAGTTAAGAATAGCCTGACTGTTGTAAACATACTCCCTTGTCTCTTCCAGTGATGACTGTCTGTATACTAACACTTCCCCTCTCCCTGGAGAAAATGTTTTTCCTGAGCTTTGCTTTTAGTATAAGTAGTAGTAATCACTGTTGAGATTTGCCTTCGGAAATAACCACTTGTTCTTTGGCCGGCAGAGAGTGATGAATAGGAAATAAGTAGAAAGAGTATAAATTCCATCTTTCTTAGCTTATGTGTCACTCAGCCTAGTCTTAAAAAAATTGTTGGGTTGGATAGGTGGGGTTTTTGTTTATTTTGTTTAGTGTCTGTTTACAAGGCTGGATGAAATTGACATCTTCCCAGAAACTTTCCTTCTGACTTAAAACACAGGTGTTTTCCAGAACTGTGTTAAGACCTTAGACGCAGCCCCCTGTGAGGGACCTGGAAAGCCCTGGGTCAGGAGCATTGCTGGCTGAGTGTCCTCCTGTTTGCCCAGCCACATGGCTGATGCTTTCCACCTGTATTGGTGGCCAAGCTTCCTGGTGCCACTGTGCCAGGACACGTAGGCTCATGCAGCCCAGCAACTTGGTGCCTGGGCGCCAGTACTGATCACCCTTTGTTGAGAGAAGGGAGCAGGAAAATAGTGCAGTTGAAAGAAAATAGAGATGGTGAGGAAGGACTGGGGGACTTGGCACAAAAAATACAGCAGAGGATTAGTTGTGCCTTCTGCCTCTTTTTTCCCTGCTGCTTTGCCTCCTTCTGCCCATGTCAGTGCCCTGGACCCTCCTAGCTGGCAGATAACAGGAGAGAGGCAAAGGTAAGCCTATGACTGTCTTCTGCTGAGGCTCAGTAGATCTGTAGTAGTCTGCAGATAACTTTGTAGGTGACATGGAAGAACCCCTGCCACCTCCAATCTCTGGATGAGATTTCTCCCCCACCAGATGGCTTTAGATACAGATGGCTTACGAGTTAAGACTTAATAAATAGCAGGAAACTCTTTAAGTTTGTGTAGTCTTCTGAATATCTGTGGCTTTGGTAAGTTAGCTACAAAGCCTTCCCCTTTACCTTGGAGAATCAAGAGTTGACAGTGAATAGAAAGACTGGATGGTGGCTTTCACCATGACACCTGTCCTTGCTTCATTCATGGAACAGCTGAAATTAGAATGATTCTGGGGATATGGTGAGAGAAGGACCTTCCACTACACCTTGGTAAGGAAGAGGAAAGGGTGCAGGGTCAGGCGGAATCAGCCATTTGACTTTGATGGATACCCTGCCCACAAGGCTCTAAGCCCTCTGAGCTCTCCTTGATCCTGAATCTTCCCTAGGCCGTGGTGCACTTTTCTTTGCTATCTCAGTCCTAGATTTGATTAAACTCTCATCCACTGTCCATCTTCTTACTTGGAATCATTCCTAGTGCAGCATTGGATTTTATATCCCAAAGGATCATGAACAGACATGATCATTTCCATTTTTTCATTTTGCAAGTCAAAATTCACAGGTAGAAGCTCTATATTTCTTCCGATATGACCCATTTTATAGATAACAATACAGGCCTGAGAAGATGAAGTTACCCAGGGTCATAGTGGCTCTACACCGAACAGGCCCAGGCCAGCTGCCTGACTCCTGGGCCCGTCTCTTTCCACGCTGAGGTGCTGGATCACCAAAGACTTACTCACTCCTTAATGGAACTGTGTGGAGGCTTCACTCCAGTGACTCCTGGGAACTTGTTTCTCTGAGTAGAAGGGAATCCTGTAAGAAGAGCCTTGGAGGCAAAGACAAGGGAATCCACACCTAACTGCAACCTGGGGGCATCAGAGAATCTTACTAACTGGAGGTAGAACAGTGTGGGGAGCCCCAGCTTGGAGCCTCTCCCTATAGTGGATAACTTAGTTTTTGTATTGGCAATTTTGTAATGTTTTTGGAGAGTCTTCTAAGTAATTTTGGTTTTCTTAGCAATGTTATACTCTGTTTTGAGACATGGATTTTTTTTTTCTTCTAGTGTTTCTCTCCTGAGGCAAAGCCCAACACACCTGTCTTTTGTCCACTTCTCCAGCAAATTAGATTTGTCTCTGGGAATGTGTTTGTCACATATCAACCTACTGCAGACCAGCAGAGGGAGCTCCCATGTTGAATTTGTTAGCTATTTTTCCCCCTTTTGCAAAAACTTTCTTGGCAACATTTGAGAGATTCAATAAAAATTTTACTCGGAACAACAACAACAAAAAGATCTCAAGTAGACTGCAGCGTTTTGTTTTCACGGTGATTCAATTTTGGAGCAAAGGTGTTCTTCTCTGAGGTTTGGGGAGAATTGGGCCCTTGACAACTAAGTGTGTCATACAGGAGAAGGACTCAGAAAAGGCCTCCTGGGGACACTGGGCCCTGGCGTGAGGCTCATCACTGCTGCTTGCATCTTCTTGGGATGCAAAATGACCCCAAGCTGTGTACTGGAAGAGTCTCTTTCCAACCTCTACGTTCACCAGCTATGGCAGCTCTTGCCAGGATGGCCTGGCAAGCTAGTGGAAAACATGTTCACAGTGGATGTGTTTGCCTGTGTGCCTGCTGGGATCCAGAGGAAGGAGGACCCAAGAGATGGAACATGTCTTTAAAAGGAAGTCAGGTCACGTTTCCAGTTGGGCTCCAGTTTTAGTCATGATCTGGTACCCCCATAGATTTCTCAGCTCTGATCTGAAGATGCTATTTGCAGTCAAATCCCACTTTTTGGGAACTTTTACTGGGTAGTAGGACTACATACTATGTACTGCCTTGCGGCTTTTAAAGATAAAAGAGCAACCCTATGCAACAACATCTGATTTCCATGCTCACTCACATTTTTAGAAGTGAACATCTAGCTTACTTTCAAGATCCTTAGTACTTGAAATTTATTAAACATCTTGTGTAGGCCATTGTGAGCAGAAGTTTCACCTACCACCATCCAGAGGCTGTGCTCTGAAGACAATCTCCAGCGCCTCCCGTGGCCTCCTACACATTTCTGCCTTTAAAGTCCAGCTTCCTATTTTGCTTTTACTTGTGGTGCCTTTTCACTGAGGCATCTTAGGGCAGAGAGAAACACTCAGTAAAAAGCACACTGTCCTTACCACATTCAAAATGTGCAGCACCGCATATCTTCCACTGGAGTCGTAGTTGGGCCAGAAACATTTGTGGGGATACAGGACTGAGAGACCCCACTGGCTGCTGCTGCTTGGGCGGCCTCATTCGTCCCACACCACCCCAGGCCTTTCAGAACATGCACAGGCTGCCACCCCGCTCTTGATTGGAACACATCACTTATGCTATCACTTAGGCTACAGAAACAGAACATTTCAAAGGCCCAACTTCTTGGGAGCGTGTCCCTTGGGAGGTCCCTTGTGACACAGTGGAAAAATTTTAAAGGTTAAGCCTAAAATAAACGCAGAAGGGAACCATGGGAAAAGAGACATAGGGAAGTAGGATGGGGAGATCACAAAGAGACAGACACACAGGCCAAGGCTAACGTGTGGCTGCCTGTGCTCTGGGTCTGTTCCCTTTACGCTTTTACTCAGCAGCAGCGGGGGCCACATCAGAGCTAGATCTTAGGAGATTTTCTTTTGCTCCGAATGCTTTCAGAGCAGGTATGGCTGACTTGAGGTGTGGGGATCGAACCACAGCAACCTGAGCCTCATTGCTTTGTTGGAGCAGCCACTTAAAGAACTGAGCTAAGGGGCAGGCTCCCGAGATTTTCTTTTGGAAACTTCAATGCACATCTCTCCCTCACTGCTGCCTTCTGAAGAATACCAAAAAAAGTAAGACATAGGACCATGCAGTGTGACATGTGGCGTGTTGACGCAGAGTACGACAGTGTGTAGATTGGGGCATTCACAGAATCCCTTGGAAATCATTCTTGCCCCATGGCAGCCATCTCGCTACCCAGGCTCCTGGTGGGCCTTTTAGGGCAAGGAGTTCTATTTTTCAGCCTCTTAACTACTGTTTTTCAGGCCATAGCCATTGCTGCAGTGGTGGCTGGTCCTGTTAGATTTTCATGAACAAAACTGTCTCTGATACACAGGAAGGGGCTCTAGCACCCCAAGTACAGCCTGTCTGCCAAAAGTGAGGGAAGGCCTGGGGGAGCCTGGGCTTTTGCTTCTGTGAATCTCAGGTGGCATTGGCTCATAACTCTGGCCTTTCACCAGCCACTGGAGAGCTTCTCCTTGGGCCTGCCCAAAAGACCCAGCCTTCGGAGGACTGCACAAAATTCCTGTGGTGCTAATGAGCCCAAGACATGAAGTGTTTTCAGACATAAAGGAAGCTATTAATCCTCTGATGCTTACATGTCCCTCTAACCCTGCAGCTGTGTGAGTCCAGACTTAGAGGA